GCTGTAACTGTTTCGTCTGGGCGTTGGAGTGCAATTATCTTGGTCTTTTAATTGGCGAAGCTTCGGTGGGCTTCACGAATGCTTTTCCCAGCCTCTGTAGCTTCGACCATTACTGCTGCTCTTCTCTCTTTAAAATCTTTCTTTAAGATTCTTTTATCGCCTGTCTGCATTGTTTCGCAAGTCCGGACGTTAGTTCGCGGTTGCCTGCAGCTCCTGCGATTCCACGCTGGCGTATTAGCTCGAGTGTTTCTGGAGATAGATGTCCCTTGGTGACTTTCGAACTGGCAGCTTTCAAAACGCTAACGTCAAGATGTTGAATAAGCCGATCGTATTCTTCGTCGATGTTATCGACAACGGCATCCTCACAACAGCCGACTAATGAATTGAATAAGTCCCAGTTTATGGTGGTTCTGGGACTTCAGTTTTTCAATTTAGCGGCTTTTTCACCCTTCCGCGAGAAATAGAATGTAGCACGGAGGAGACGGTGGTCCGATCCCGTGCAGAATTTTGGGACAACAGCGGCATCGGTTAGGTAAAATCTTCTATTTACTATGATGTGGTCAATTCCGTTATGGTACTCTCAACTAGGAGACTCCCAGGTCCAGCGTTGAGGGTGGGGCTTCTGGAATTGCGAGTTACCATGGATTGTCTTGGTCGCCATGATAAACTCAGAGCCACTCACCCTGTTCGTTCCATTCTAATCCATTGTTCCCAATGTAACGTTCTTCAGACGTTCTTCTTAGTCTAATCTTGGCGTTGAAATCTCCAATGATGACCTTGAAGAATGTATGGTCTTCTCTGTAGAATTTCTCCAAGTCCATATAGAACGCTTCGACCTCTTTTTCGTCATAGTTTGATGTCGGTGCGTAAACGGCGAAGATTGTCAAAGCCGGTATTGATCCAAATCGTTTTAATCGTAAACGTCCGATTCCGGTTGTAAGCTGCTCGAATGAATCGATTTTTATGGAAAAACACGTGTTGACGAGAACGCCGGCGCCATCGACTCCTCTATTGTCGCATGTTCCAAGGAACAGTTCTTCTCCTGTGTCATAAATGGCGTTGAATAGGTGGCGTCGTCTCGTCTTGGCCAGGCCGACGACTTCTATCGAGGACTCGGATGCAAATGTACACGCATCGTAGATACAGATCGTCACCATAGTTTTTCGTAATGCAAGCAGAATTCATTGGCCCAGAGATTTTTAGCAGCCTCTCCGTACTAGTCCTACCCAACGCTGCGAAATTGAGGACTCTTTCGGGATCAGCGGAATGAAGTCCGTTTTCATTTTGATACTCACGTATAGCTTGCTGGACTCTGAACGTGGAGGCTGGGTGTACTCACGAGCAGCTTGCCAGACTCTCCCAGCGTGGATATAGACCTTATTTGTTGGAGGCTACTCCTAACCGCCTCCCATATTCTTCCCAGTCACTTGGTTGCAGGCTTTTGACCGAACTGACTCGTAAAATACAATCCGCATAAGCAAGAACGCATCCACATAAGCATGCATGAATACGCCTAGCAAATACAGAAAGTATGTGACAAATCGGCGCAGCAGAAACAGCGTTCCATCCTCTGAATCCATATGCGTCTCTGGGAAGCAAAGGTCTCTTTTGGTTCGCGATTAACCTCCTATCCGCCACCTGGGGACGCGCTACGTAGCCGCGCGACTAACCGGCTCGAGATCCCTCATATGAGGAAGATCCGTGTGCAATTGATATTCTGAGGAATTCAATCAGTAACGGACGGTTGTCGTTTTTACCCATCACGTCTCCCATCTAGGTTCTCCACAGTTTGCCAGAAATGTGGTCGTCACATAGAATTAGGCATGATCGCGTATGTGAGAATTCTACATCCGGAATTCCATCGTTTGGCAGACAATTTCCCGAGTTGATTTCATTGTCTGAAGTGAACAGCTGTTTGTTATCTGATATGGACGGACGCGGTGACAGTGAGGTACTCCGGATTTTGCTGTGAATCTTAAATTATAGAAATGATTGATCGAATAAGCCTGAATGTCACTGTGACTCTCGCAAGATCAGGAGGACGCGAATACTTCGAATAAGTCAATAAACGTCAGTCGATTACAGAGTGGTCGAAAAGTAAGGACATGTAATTTGCACGTGTCTCAACGTCCTCGGATAAATTTGGTCCATTTCATTTTACTCTTGACGCTTATGCGATTTTTAAAGTTTAGTTCCATAAAATTCTCAAATTTATCCTTACTAGTTTAGCCTGATGCTTAGACAACCCTGAAGAATAAATATTGTCACAAAATCGGTGTCCGAAACGAGTAATAGTCCGCTACGAATTACTGCAAAAAAAGTCCTCTGTTTTCCACAATCAGAAAACATGAAAACCTACGGCCAAGTGAATCAGGATGGCATTCTGAAGAAAGCCCTCCTCCTACGGGAAAAAAGTGCGACTGAGTGTTATTTTAACAGGATTAAGCACCTTCCAACGAAGTGAAAAGTAACAACAATGTATGTAAAGTCGAATATTCCATGGTCTCTTATCAAGTACAGTGGCACCATTAAGGACTTGGAGCTAAATTCGATTGATTTTCCTGATCGAGAAGTGAAGCAGAAACTGAGTAACAGTAAAGTTCTACCTACGTTTAGAGTAGACTAGCGTAAACAAGTTATTTAAACGATGACTTGAGTATTCCTTAATACCGCAACTCTATGGAAAGATGTTGTGTCCATTCATTTAAATTTGTAGGCTTTACTTTTGTACTCAGTTTGGAAACATTAGTAGATCAATCCGAAAACGAAGGAAAAACCGAGAGTCATAATATTTTAGACCAAATGAAGATATGCACTGATTTTAAAGCCTGCTTTTTCCTGCTCCGCTTTTCTGTTCTCTTCGAATGTCACTGATATTAACAGGAAACAGCTAAAAGAGATTTTTGAACTAACCTATTACAGAACGTGAGGAATCGTTTACTGAGAGTGTTTGCCTTTTGTAGCGTTGGTGTTGGCGTTTATAACGATCCCAATCGCCTTTCTTTTCCTTCTTTTCTTCTATGCCTTCGTCTTCTTCAGAAGAACTACTGTCGCTATCGTCACTTTCCACTAAAATGAAACTTAACACAACGTTGCAGTATCCTATTCTTCTAATATGTTCGACGAAATTTACACGGAGTGCGAGTGGCACAGTGGTTATTGTTGCTTCGCAATATACATATAGTAACTGGTTTGATTCTGCACTCTAGGAAAGTCAACTTGCCCTCTTCAAGATCGACAAACTGATGATCGCACCTATTTGCCTATTTGGTTCTATACATTTTTGAAGAACCAAAAACAGCCACTTTTTCATAGAAAACCAGCATACTCAATTTACTGTACTGCTTAAGCATACGCTTGTACTAATTACAACGACAGCTGCTGCTCCAACATGACTTCGACGCTTAGTTTGGCTTTGATGAAGCCTACACACAAGTGACTGCTGATTGGTTCAATAGCTACGCATACGAGTGTAGGCAGAGTGGGCCATTTGTATCAATTTCAGTGCATGGCCTTACCAACTATTTGCTAAATTTTCCTTTTTGTTTTCAAATTTGAAAAAATATGATTTCAAATTAGAACAATTTTTTCTAAGAATTTGGTTTAAAAAAAATTTTAAAAGTTTAAATTTATTTTTTTTAAAAATTTTAAAAGTTTTAAAAAATTTGGTTTTTTTTTTTAATTCTTTTATCAATCGATAGCTAAGTGAACACAGATGCTATGCCAGAGGCGCTCCCTCAAAAAGCTGTTCTCTACATTTAATAATCTATAAAACCTTCTCCGTACTATTTTTTTCAATATACACCGCCTCATTTGAAAAATTACGGTACCAGTCTTAAGTGGGTAGTCACGCAAAAAGTAACAGTCGTGTGTGTTAAGTTGTACTCCGGTATACGGTACAAGACAACCTTCTGTAGAAGACCTTTGTCATTTTAGGCGAGTCAAGCAAAATGTCACTTATGTCTTTATACTGATTGAACTGCACATACTTAAGAACGCAACTGACATCGACACCATTTAAATCGCATCTCGTTTGCTAATTGAACTGCTGAAAAAATTAATACTAAAGATTTTGAGATCAAAAGCCTCTAAAAATATATATTGGGTTTCAGGCGAAAATAGCACAAATAATTCAGATTTTAGGAAAAAACAATGACACCAACTTGAGCTCTTCTCATAGACTCCTCTGTCCTTTCTAGTGAATCGGTACTTCTTGCACATGCTAGTACGTTTTGAAACGACTGTCTCGTTTGTAGAAATTGACATCAGTCCAACCTTAAATTGCACTTCTAATGATATCAGGTAAATTTCAAAAAAGTCGCCCGAGTCATCTATGAAATTAGATTCCGTCTGGCATCGATTCACTGAAGCTCAAACCAATAGAGTCTTCATTCGTTCTTGTCGCACGTCAAAGCTTCTATATGGTCGTACACAAACTTAGCATACACGAAAAGGATCCCACTTTTCTAAAATGAATTCCATCATTTTTACCGCTTTTTGTTGATTTATGGGTACCCGTGGATTATCGTGGATTACTCTAGTGTCTATTTATTTATGTGATCTTATAAACTGATCTTCTTAAGCTGACGCGAGGTTGGTACAGATCTTGGTTGTCGTTGTCGTTGTTTTTGATGTTATTGATCGATGGCTGACGTTTCGGCGACTTCGCCTTCCTCAGAGCCGTGATGTTAGTCTCGCACGTAACTGTACCAACCTCGCGTCAGCTTAAGAAGATGAGTTTATAAGATCACATAAATAAATATATCAACTATCTTTGCCGAGGTTCATAGAAAGTCGGTCTTTCGAGTTACTCTAGTGTCTATTGCCGGGACATACGGAAAATTTTTGGGGTGCTCCCGAAATAGATGGAATTCCTTGTTCGAAGAGATCCCGGACCGCCCTCCATTTATTTTTCATTTCTGAGGTTATAGTTACTTTTAACCGAATCATCGTACACGATACAGTCTCCAGCATACCATAATAACAAAATATACCAAAGACATAGGTCACTCCTTCATAGTAGAGAAAAGAAGCGTTTTTCCTGAAACCACCTGCGCTTCTTTGGGAGTACACGATAGTTTTCAATCACAACTGTGTACCCACCAACTTGAGTGCGCCGCTCGTAACTATCAATAACCTTGAGTAGTCATATGAAAAGTGTCTATGGAAAAGATTTGAGTTTCACTGTACGAAGTATATTGAAGTGCGCTTTGGTACGGAATAAAAAGGATAAAGCTCTCAGCGTTGATTAATCTCTGACGGATGCGCCATTCATTCGACTTCATTTAGCACCGAGAGGTGACTGAATGCATATCTGGCCTTTACGACTCGCGGTATACCTCCTTCCTCGCCTACCGATGTATCGAGCCAGTGCTGCTAGCCTCTCAGACAAATCTGGTACCAGATTGCCGACCCCGAAGGTATGGAACGCTTGGTGGGCCATGGGCGTGCGGACCGATTCCACGTGTGCGTTGCAGGGCACCTCCGGCCATTGCGCCACACGCTCCCTTCGTACGGAATAGCTAAGTGTTTTGTTAACTGTTATAGCAAAAAACCTTCTAAGTATGTTTCACTCAGCCTTGATATTTTCCAGTTAGCTGGATATAACCCCAGTTCTAAGAGAACATGCAGTGATCAGCCGCATTAGTGTTCTGACTCACCAAAAACGATTCTACCTTGATGATTATGCAAACGAAAAATGACAACAGACATAATCAGCTTAGTACTCATTAAACCATTGCGGACAGAAATTGATTCCATTGCATTCCAGCCGCTGAATTTTGTGTTGTTCTCTTTCTTCTTTGGTTTTTTTCAGCAGTGATCGATCACTAAGCTCATGTATTCCTTGCTGAGAGGGAGTTCCTATAGCATATTTGGGAACCACAGCTGGACGAAATTTGGCAGAAATTGCTTTCTTCAGAGATGTACTGGAGTTACAACATCGCTAGTCTAATAATTATGCAGTACTTGCATGTGATCGATCCAAGGACAGTAGAAACCCGCTGAAAAGTAAACCATAGCCAAATAAACATCCTTTAAAAATGAAGACTGGACCAAGTAATTGATACAAGGATTTATTGTACTACATAGAGTCTAATGTTAAAACAATGCAGGCAAATTCACTAATAAAACGTTTTAGAGTAGTTATACCTGATTGGAACATACCTGCTCTAGTTTGTGACGCATGTCCATTTGACAATCCAGGCATTCTTGAGTTTCACAGGTTGCTTCGCTCTAAACAAATAACTCAGGACAGATTTGTTTATAATGTACATAGGATGTTAATCAGGAAACCTCTAATGTATTCAGATATTCGTCGTCGTCCTGATCCATTGTTAGATCCGGAAAATTGTGCAATGCCTCTTCGAGAGTGGCGGCTTGAAAGCGTGAATCGTACGGAAGACATGATTGAACGATGTTCGACGGTGTATTAATACACTCACACTGCAATAGACGAAAAACAATCAGTGGCAGTAAGCTCGTCGATAACGTCGATATGACGTCTCGTTGGTAACGGTAGTGAAATGCAGATGATTCTTTTATCTCAAAAATCCAACTTCGAACTGATTATTCGAATATTATGGCCAGTTAACTTGCTCAAGAGTAGACTATTGCGCGTGATCTAACGCTTTTAAAGGAAAATTTCAAAAGGCAAATCCTACTGTAATGGTTTGTTTTGCTGAATTACAAATGTATACCACTTTCCGTAGAGCGCGTTTGGCGCAGTGGTCGGAGGGGCACTGCAACATACACGTGGAATCGATCCCTGCGCCCATGGCCCACCAAGTTTTCCATCGCTCCGGGGTCGGCAAATTGGTACCAGACCTGTTTGGGAGGATAGCATCACTGGCTCGATACATCGGTAGTCACCGGGACTAATTGTAAAGGCCAGATATGCATTCAATCACCTCAAAACGATACTTAATGAGGTCGAATGCATGGCGCATCCCTTAGGGATTGATCAATGCCGGGAGCTTCATGCTCTATTTCACCAGTTTCTGTAATGTTTTTGAACATTTGGCCACATTTTGGAGCAATTTTTTGAAAATTTATTCATTTCTATAATGCTGAGATATTTGTAAAACTCTGGACAGCAGGTGTCTGTGGTGGAGAACGAACGCGCTATTGTCCTTTCCGGGGAGTAACGCGTTCACCACCACACCATACGGGTCCTTCGTTTCGCCTGTCTCTCGGCTAGTTCTATCGATCACCTACCATCAATGGTCACCCGTCAACGGGATTGATCTGAGGAGCCCAAATCGGCATTGAACCCAGTATTCGTTCCTCACCGCAGTCATCTGCCGTCCGGACTTTTGCAAATATCTCAGCATTATAGAAATTTTATTTCGCAACATACCGTGCCATTAAAAAGAATAGGCAGTAAATAAAAAGGCTAAGATTGTGAATCTACTCATTTTTGAACAAAACTACCACACAAACAGTTGGAATGCTCAGCATCAAATCGTTCGATTGGTCGATCATCCACTATACGCAATCACCTACGAAATCTGGAGAACAAATCAAAATATCCTAGCTATTTTTCAAGTGTTTCAACGGATTGGAAATCTTTCATGTGGTTTCAAGCAGCTGCGATCGCCGTATCATTTCTCCAACCACAAGTGAACGGTTTCTGACGATTGTCCATATACTATTCAATGCCACACATGATGAAGGTCTTCTGACCGCTATCTCCATGTTATTGATGGGAGTCTGGATCCGGAATTGTGGAACATCTTCCGAATCGTTTCACACATAGTTTACAATTTTGTCGGTCTGCTATTAAGGATTAAGTACTCAGACCTGTTTAGTTGACGTCAAAGAGAATGACACGGCACCGAAACGCACTAATCACAACGATCGAAACAAAGTGCTGTGCAGTCACATGTTTTCATCTGTCATCTATCAAAAGACAGAGTTGATTACGAATTCAGTACGGACATGACTAACCTACGTAGAATCCAGGAAAATTGGATCCAAAGGAATAAATTAAAAGATTTGAGCGAAACCGCCCGGTGGTGATCAGTCTCTCAGAGATGCCCCATACATTCAACTCCATTTGCGACTAAGCTAGTTTCCCAATAGCTGACGGTAATCTTTCCAGATCTAAGGAAGAGACCTTGCTCCATTGTACTAATCGCATGTAGACATTTTGTACGGAGTACTTTCAAATTAAAAACATGACTAGAAGCAAGATTTTTAGCAAGTTGGGCGGATAATTTGAAGTTTTGATATCTCCTAAGCATTAATGATAGGTCCAAAACAAACGATAGATTGCGAAACATAAATACGGGTCATAGTGTCTAGAATCTAAGAGAGAGAGAAAGAAGAAAATAGGTTTCATGGACTCCAGAACGGCAGGATTTAATCTTACAACATCGTATACCCAAGAATCAGTAGGTTCCAATAGTTTTATTGAAATTAATAAAACTCGCTGAAAAATGAAATATATTTATTAAAGTTGCAGGCGGCCACCGTTTCTGCATTCTACGGCTCCTATAGCGGTCACGTCGTCGAGGAGTTACATATCGCAGATTTTCATGGACACATGTTTGCCCTGTACAATGACTTAGGTTACACCAATGTATCAAGTTCCTGTTTTCATCCTCCCGAACAGGTGTGGTACCAACGTTGCAACCTCAAAGGAATAAAGGATTTCATTAATCCGGGGCTTAATGAGACAGAACTAATGACCTTGTGTGTAAAGCAAGACATCTCTAATCGTTGCGCAACGAAGCCTTCGAAGAAAAGCAAAGCTTACATAAAAAAGCAGCCGAATTTGTAATGCTAGCGAGTCGCTAGAACTACTGTTACTACAAAAAGCAGCGATGAGTTTGTTTACCGTTCAGATTTTTTTTTCCTGCTCTGAAGTAGAACTTCCTGTCTCGTAGTATTTCGGCGGATCGCTGCTTTACTGTCTCCTCTTGAACAAACAGCACAACTATCGCCGCAAAACACTCGAGAACACTCGTTTGAAAGGATAAATACACTGTAAAGTCAGTGTTTATATCTACCAATTTACCGACCTGCGAGTGATAGAGGGCTCGGTTTGCCGGACGTAAGGAATCGGACCAACGGCCTTGTATGTATTACAGCACCTCTAATTTTTGCGCTACACGACCCACCAACTAAGCCGGTCAAATGAGAACTGTGCTGCAGTGATCAACATTCTACGTAAAGGCAGGATAGGTAAGTTAAGTGTCAAACACCAAGTATTTTTTGTAACAACAGAAGAAAAAAAAACAAAGATGTACAATGAAGATTAGAATAATGGACTAACTAGGAGGCAAATTACCTGGGATTGGGTGACAGTTTGTGAATGAAGTGGTACGGTATTGAAAAAGGTGAGAAGCAACACACTGAACACGGTGACTACCAACGTCATAACATCGCCACCACCACCATCACAAACTCTCTGCGAACCTCCTCTCGCATTAACCTTTAACTGATCGCTCAGCGTGTCGTCACAACAAACAGCTTTCCCTGAGATTCGTCGTTTTCAGAAACGATATGCCTACAATAGTTTATTATTCCAGTTTTCTCTAGTGAGATTCTGGCGAAAGAACAGAAAAAATTGTATGCGGTTATATTCTTTGGTTATAAAAAATGAATTATAAAGCTCTTGGCGTTGATCAATCTTGAGTGCTGTGCCATGCATTCAACTTCACTAACCATCATCAGAGGTGATTGAATGAATATATAGCCTACATAATGACTCGCGGTGGTCTACCGATGCATCGAGCCAGTGTTGCTATCCTCGCAGAAAGGTCTGATACCAATTTGCTGAGCCTGGAGATATGAAAGGCTTGGTGAGTCTGTTGCGAGGGGATTGAACCCATGTATATTGCAGGGCGCCTCTAACCACTGCGCCACGGGCGCCCCTATCAACACTGTAACAAAGTGCATTTTATTTATATTATATTTTCAAATGATTATTTACCATTATTAATATGCAGCTTGAAAAATACACTTCGGAATTTACATGAAATGTTAGGCGGCAACTCCTTTCTTCCCTAACTAGGTTATGTAATGCGCCTATACAACTATAGTAAACAAGCAATCCAGACTCGTATGGGAGACCTACACGAAAAACAAGCAAAGGTGATGGGCTGACTTCGCAAAAGAAACAAAACAGCTACTATAACTATAACGTAAATGAGTATCGTAGTGGGTGAAGATGTCTTCCCATACGCACACTGTCGTGGTTTCCTTCCCTCGCCACGGGCATATTTGGCTCTTAATCCTTTCGGGGTCAACAAATTGGTACCAGACCTTTCTGGAAAGAGAACAACACTGAATTTTTACACAGTTAGGCCCCATAAAGTTATTGTACAGATCAAACGTGTATTCCTTCACTTCTACGATGGTTATTGTAGTTGATGGCTCACGGCGCACAGTTAAGGAATTGATAAAAGCCGTACGCTTTTCCTTTTCTGCTCCTTCAACTATTTTTGATCCAGGTGAGAATCTTTTCGATGTTCTCCAATGTGCTGATCAAGCGGTGATCTTCCTGACTGCTACTGCTGAAAACTACTCAATAAACAGACTTTACTAAGTTCACCCCGGAGCAACTCAACCACACTAGCAGTAGGTCGTTAACCACGACGATTGATTTATTTTGCTTTCTACTAGTTAGGTACGCCGAAAACTCCTCCAATATATGTATATTTCAATATTCAAATGGAGTTGAAACACTTCTCAATTCCACCTCACCAATCACCGTAATGATTCAACAATTTCTTCTTACCAAGTAAATCCGCCAGCAGACGACTAACAATATAGAGTTTGCCCATAATCCATGGGTTTATCGTTTCACATTGATGAATGAGTGTTTCTGCATATCAAATTGACTATACATTCTTCGACTGAATTTGCCTTCTAAAAGTTCAACCCCTCATCGTGGTTGGGAAGTGTTCCTGGGTGTTGTATTGTTCAGCGGTGGGTTTGAATACACTGCGATGAACATGGAAGTCTTCTACCGGCATCACTCATGCGGAGACTAACCATATTCTCACGAGCAGAAGATTGTGCCTCTTCGACACCTCAGTGGTACCTGTATTCTGTAATGGATCGGACATCCGAATACTCCTTGAGAAGATTCGATTAAGCTATAGGCTAGAAAAAAGATCCTACGACCGCCCAAGGAAAAGACATGTCGTGAATGACGAGGAAAATACGATAAAGGATAAAGCTCTTGGTGTTCATCAATCCCTTAGGGATGCTCCATGCATTCGACTTCATCAAGCACCGTTAGAGGTGATTGGATGGATATGTGGCCTACACAGTGACTTGCGGTGACCTACCGATGCATTAAGTCAGTGCTTTAACCCCTCAGACAGGTCCGGTACCAATTTGCTGACCCTGGCCAAGTGGAAAGCGTGGTGAGCCTGGTGCGCTGGATCGATCCCGCGTGTATTACAGAGTTCTTCTAACCACTGCGCTACACGCAACTCTTTGATGAGGACATTCTCAATAAAATGCTTTCGGTACATAACTAACAGCTAAGGAAAGATCCGAGCGAGGAATACACGCTTCTTGTCGAAGGACATAAAACTTGTGTCGAACTTTCCTCAGTTCCTCAAGCAAGAAGTTCAGACCGCCTGTCTATAACCACCCACTGAGTTGCTCGAAAAGAGAAGGACATTGAAGTTGCTTATTGCAAGACAAACGGCTGAAAAACGCTAGCTGTGGAATATCTTTGCTGGAAGGCTTACATTGTTACAAGGAGAGAATGTTATTGGAGGCAGCTCTAGAAAGGAACTAGTTCACAGGACTGCCATCGGGATATTTGCGACTATAATATTAGCCTACCCGCCCTGATCCACGGATCTCCCTCATATGAGGAATCCCGATAGCCGGTTAGCCCTGGAACGCAGGTGGATCCAGGGGAAGGACTCACTGTTTCTGCTGCGCCGATTTGGCACATGCTTTCTGTATTTACGAGGCTTATTCATGCACACGTGTGTGGGTGCGTTCTAGTTTATGCGGATTGTATTCTACGAGTCAATTCGGCCAAAAGCCTGCAATCAAGTGACAGGGAAATATATGGGAAGCGGTTAGGAGTCGCCTCCAACAAATAAGCTCCATGTCCACTTTGGGAGAGCCTGGCAAGCTACCCTCGAGTATACCACGTTCAGAGCCCAGCAAGCTATACGTGGGTATCAAAAAGCTAAAAACATTAAAAGAAACGGGATTCAAACGGGATTCATTACACTGACCCCGAAAGAGCCCGCAATTCGGCAGCGTTGGGTAGGACGAGTACGGAGAGGCCGCTAAAATCCCACGGTCATTCTAGGCTGCCTACATCGCAAAGGATTAAGGTGACTATATGTAACTACAATGCACGTACACTTGCATCCGAGTCATCAATAGAAGACTTGCTCACGCAAGCAAGAAGGATAACGTACGACGTCATCGGCCTGGCCGAGACGAGAAGGCGCCAGCTTTTCAACGCCGTCTATGGCACCGGAGAAGAACTGCTCCTCGGAACATGCGACAGCAGAGATGTCGGCGGCGTCGACGTTCACGTCAACACGAGTTTGTCCATAAACATTGATTCATTCGAACAACTTACAACCCGAACAAGACGTTTACGATTAAAAAGACGTGGATCAATTCCGGCTTTGACAATCTTCGTCGTTTACTCGCCGACATCAAACTACGACGAAGAAGAAGTCGAAGCGTTCTATATGAACTTGGAGAAATTCTACAGAGAAGACCACACATTCTTCAAGGTCATAACCTCTGAAGAACGTCACATTGGGAATCATGGATTAGAATGGAACGAACAGGGTGAGTGGCTCTGAGTTTATCATGGCGACCAAGACAATCCATGGTAACTCGCAATT